TATGATCATAAGTGTTATACCGTCCAACTATCACTAGGACACCAGAGCGTTTATGTGCAAAAACACGTTTCTAAATGACTTCCCTGTTCTTCAGTCTGAGAGGTAGTGAGGGTCTCAGCTGGGCAGTGGTGTAGGGGTGCAGTGGAGGGTGTTATCCTTGCCTATTTTATTATACAAAGTGGTCTACGACATGTACTGTTATGTTTTTATATGTTTCACAAACATGCCCTTTAAAAAATGTAAATAGCTGTCTTTTAAAGAGCTTTTTATTTTTTCTCGGTTTTTGATCTGTCAGGACATCACCACTGAGGATTACTGAAGATAGGACTGTATCTTTCAAAAGTATGACCCAACTCCCTTACACAAAACAGCCTTGGGGCCGGCAGGTAGCGTGGTGGTTAAAGGTTCTGGCTCCCATATGGCCGACTGTGGTTCAAGTCTGAGCCTGGTGACTTGCTTTCTCACTTTCCCTCTCTCTCTGTCTGTCTGACCAAACTAGAAAATAATAATAATAATAATAAAGTTAAATACTTTTTTTAAAGACAGCCTATTTGCATATAACCTACACACATCCTCCCACATACTTTAAAATCACATAACATAAAATTCCTCTAGGTTATCTGTAACGTACGATGTTAAGTGCTTTGTAAATAGTTATGCTGCCTTGTTTATTTGTATTTTTTTTAATCATTACATTATTTATTTTTCCTGAATATTTTCAATCTGAGGTTGATTGTGGCTAAAGAGGGATGCTACACAACTCCATATCCTACCTCACAGTTAAGTCGTGTGAACTTACTAACTGACCTGCAGGGAAAAAACTCCTTTGTCTTAAAGCTTGCTGGATAGTGCATGCACTTACCAGAGACAGAGACAGAGACAGAGTGAGAGTGAGGAAGCACTCTCCATGGGGGATGGTCACATTGCAGCTGGTGTGTTTTCCAAGCCACCAAGCCCAGGACTCAAACCATACAGCCAGCCATGGTGGCTCAAGCTGCCTTAACCACCATGCCACCAACTGGCCCACCCCCTCCACTTTCTTGTAACCTCTATCCTACAAGGATGGCACCACCATCCGTCCATCCATCAGCTCAACTCTGAAACCTGAGACAACTCCCACAATGCCCTGATGCTCCTGCATCCAGTCCCCCAGCCCTGCACACGGATCTTCTAAAGCAGCTCTCAAATCCCCCCTCCACTCCCACCCCTACACCACTGCCCAGCTAAGATCCTCACTACCTCTCTCTCAGACTAACAGGTTTCTAAATCGTTTCCCTGTTTCAAATCTTTTTTCCTCCTTTCCCAAAGAAGAAGTATTTAATTATAAAAATAACATGTTAATCATAAAAAATGTTCAAATGATGCATAAATGTAGGAAGTGAAAATCATCTATAATTTCACCTTCAGGAGAATCTCCGTTAACCGTTTCTAATTTTATCGTCGTCTTCTACCCCTCAAAAATCTTTATACTGCTTCCAGAATGATCTAAAGCATCAGTGCAGTGCTTAAAAAACTTGTCACTGGATAATCTAAAGAAGAACTGACAGGGACCAGGTGGTGGCATAGTGGTTAAAGCAGCTGGATCTCATGCTACATGGCTGACTGCACAGTTCGAGTCCCAGACCCAGTGCTTTAAAAATCATGCCAGGCAGGGCCAGCAGGTGGCATGGTGGTTAAGGTGGCTGGACTCCCAGGCATCTGGCTGACCATGGTTCAAGTCCTGGACCTAGCGGCTTGCTCTCTTTCTCACTTTCCTTCTCTCTCTCTGTTTCTCTCTGGTTAACTTCAATAAAATAAACAAAATAAATAATGACAATGAATTTAAAAAAATAACAACCACAAATGAAATTAAATAAATAAATAAAATCATGCTGGGCATGTGTGCATATACCTCCAAAACCCCAAAAGGAGACAGAGAAGAAGAGACTGCAGTATTGCCATCCCTCCTGGGGATGATTGCTCACATCCCACCTCCCACTCTCCCCAGTGAGTGCACACACCCTTAGCAAATTAAAAAACAACAACAACAACAAAAACTGACATAATTTCTTAAGTTAATGGTGGGAGACACTGGGAAGGAAGGGTACTGGCCTAAATTAAGGAAGACTTAAAAGACATAATAAACAAATATGAGGTATAAGCTCTGATGTGCTCTTGATTTAAACCAACTATAAAGTACATTCTATTTAGATAAAATATTTAGTCTAGCATTACACATAACAACATTATTTGTTAGCATCATCTAATACCTAGTTCATTCAGTTTTTATAGTGCTGTTAACTGTAACAGTGGCATAGTGATTTTTTAAGAAAATGCCCAGCTGGCTCTGTAGCTTAATGGTTAAGGGAGCTGGACCCCACATGGCTGACCACGAGGTTCAAATCCCAGCTCCTGCAGCTTGAAAAACAAGCCAGGCACATGTGCATGCTTCCCCCAAATGCCAATGGGATAGAGAAATGGAGAAGGGACTGTTGTGGGGCCACTCCCCATTGGGGGTGCTTCCTCCCCATCTGTCACTGGCAAGCATATGAACCCTCTAGCAAATATTACAGAAAGGAATTAGTTTCTTTAGCAATATACACTGAAGCGGGGAAGAAATGACATGGTATCATGGATTTACTTTGAAATACTTCAGTACATAACAACAGGATAGATGAAGCAAATATGGCAAGATCCTGACAACTGCTACATCCGAACGATGAGTAATTGTGGGCTCATCACATTATATTCACTCTGCATCTTTGTGTTTGCATATATAAAAAAAGTATTATGGAAGTTTCCGATCTTCAAATGCATATGGTGGCGAACTTTCCACAGCCTCCCACACCACGACTGTAAAGTCAAACTGCTTCACAGAGCCCATGAGGCAGATGCTCCAGGATCTGGCCCTTGATACCCTAAAACCTTCCAAGGTCCTTTCCAGTCCACCAAGGCTGAGACGAACCAACCACTGCAGACACCTGTGTGCTCTGAACCTTGCCATGAGCTACCACTGCCATTTAGAACACCCTCCTCTCCCAGTCTCTCTCCAGTTTTTCTGCCCACCTGGCATACTCTGATTAACCACTATGCCTATTTAAAATGCTATCCCAACTCCTCACCTCCATCCTAGCCTGAGCTGTTAACACTCCCGCTTGTGCCGCAACATTGACAACTAAGTACTAGAACATTTGCTCAGATCCCCCCTTCTAGTCTCTAACACCACAAAGACACAGTGCTGGCCCAGAGTAGCCCATTGTTAATAAATGAGTACACAGCAGAGCCAAGAGGCAGAGCAGCTAAAATGTTTGTAGAAAACTGTAAATAGTTCAAATAAGCCAGCATTCGTCGGGGATGAGGAATGGCTGGTGATAGAGAAGAGAAGGGTATTACCCTCAGCTACAGCTGAAAACTACATGAGAGGGCCAGCCGATGACATACCGGGTGAGGCTTTCCCCCTCAGCTACAGCTAAAAACTACATAGGGGGCCCAGCCGATGACATACCGGGTGAGGCAGCTGGATCCCACATGGCCAACTTAGCCATTTGAGTCCCAGACCTGGCACCTTGAAACACGCACCAGGTGTGTGTGCATGTGTGCCCAAAATCCCAAGAGGAAGAGAGAAGGGAATGTGGCATGGCTATTCTCCTGGGGGTTGATTTCTCACTTTTCCTCTCTGTCTCTCCAACAAGCACAGGCATCCTACAGAAAAACTTTAAATAGATAAATAAATCCATACAGAAATAAAAAGGAACCAGGAAGGCAGCTGATGGTGTTGGAGCAGGGGACTCAGCAAGGAGGACATCCTGGTACAAAGTCTGGTTCCCCAGCACACTGCCACATGGAGGGGTCCTGCCTTTCTCCCCAGTCCTCGGCGTTAGTGTGCTGCACTTAGCTAGGGCTGCCATTTGCAGGGGGAGTGCACTCTGGCCTGCATCCATGCCACGAGAAGCTGAATGAGAAAAGCTTTGCACCTACAGGGGCTGCGGATATCTAGGACTGCCTGTGACTAGGCATAGCCTGTCTAAGTCAGTGCAAATGTGTGGCAGGGTATTTGGCCTAAGGTTAAAGCAACTTTCTTCAATCACTTTAACTGATAATACAGCGACATTCTAGGTTCCGTATGCCTGATTCTTAGATCTATCACTTAACTGGTTCCAAACCTGGAAGGAAAAAAAAAGGTGGTACTTACTGGCTCCCTGCTCTCTCCCAACCCCATAAAACACACACACACTTTAAAAACCCTGCTCTGTGACAAGATTAATTTAGCAAGTCATCTGAAATGGTACAGAAAGAATGCAACACTCCACAATAATGAGGTCACATGAGAAAGTCCAGGTTTACGTCCTAAAATTTCTCCATACGTCTTGGGTACACACCGCCATGATCCTGGCTGCCTGAGGCTGGCTGGTGGCCTGAACACCCATTTGCCCAGGCTCCGTGTAACCCACCAAGAGCCATTTCACACAAAACAAACTGGAAACACACTTTTGGTGACAGCGTATGTTCCAGGATGAAGTGAGAACAGACACATTTACAGGTAAAGATCTCCTTTAGGAGAGCAGGTCGAATTCTCAAAGCCATGATTTGTAAGGAAAAACCGTAGAGGTTTAAAATGAGAAGGGCTGTTTCCTCCCAAACTCCCAAACCTCTGGGCTGCAATGCTGCCATTCTACCCTTTGTGCCTCTCAGGAAAGAAGGTTGCAAGATAAAGTTCTGCCCCACCGTAGGCAGGAAAGCTGTGTTGGTCAAATGAGCCGGGCCCTGCTGCGTCACCCAGGCTGCCCACCTCTCCAGATCAGCAGTCACTCAGAGAGGAGAAAGGAAAAACGCCCAGCTATCAACAGGCTGGACGGGAGTGAGTGCCACACAGCCACTGCAGGTTGGCGGCCCTGACTGGGGTCTCTCCCACCTTCGCAACACCTGCAACACCTGCATCCTGCTGACCCACTTCCCCTCCATGGGATGCCTCCAGGGCAGCTCCCCGCCTCACAGCACTGCGCGAAGCCACCGCCCCGTACCTCGGCCAGCTCACGCTCGCTGATGCTTCTGGTGGCATTCCCTTTCTTCCTCATGCACGGCTCGGCTGCGGTGACCCTGCCGTCCCCTTTGGCATAGCTGTGCACAGTGAGAACTCCCGTTTGCCCTTGGGCTTCGCCAGAGAGAGGCTCGCTGGTTTCTGAATCAGAAGAGACAGAATCCCGGGAAGAACTGGAGCCCAGGCTAGAAGATGACTTCTTTTTGGGGCCCGAGAAGACGAGGCGTCCTGCTAGAGAAGCAGGATTCACAGACAGATCCAAGGCAGCTGCTTCTTGTTCCTCCTCCTCGTCCTCCTCTTCTAGTTTGACGTTTTTGAGCTCTTCAAATTTGACTTCGGTGGAGTCAGGATAATCTGAAACACACGTACATGTCAGACAGAGCCAAGTCCCTCCCGTACGTGTGAACTTGATGCAAGGCAGAGGGCAGAGAGTGGGCTGGGAGTGAGACCTGGCTTCCGCCCTGGCTCTGCACTGACAGGTTACTCGTCGTGTGATCTGGGCTAACTGCTCAGCCTCTCTGGGCCTCCAGCCTTTCTTCCTCTGTATCGTGAAGATCCTGCCACTGAGCTCCAGGGCTGACTCACATGTGTCAGACAGGAGCACACCCTGGCACTAGAAGGCACTCAGTTAGAGGCAGCTGCCAGTTCCTCGGAAGTCTCCCGCAGGACGTGAAGGCCTGAGCTCAGCAGAGACCTGGCTGCCCCAAGCTAGAAAATCTGCTCAAGGAAGCCAGCTCAGCCCCAGGGAGGGGATCCCCAGTGCTATCTGGCTGTCAGCAGACAGACCACGGTGTTGTCGACAGGGATTTCTTCAGCCTGACTTGAGACTGCTACAAGACCTCCCCTGACAAATATGGCCTCCACGCCCACCGAGAGTCTGTGCTGAATCTCCACTGACCACATCACTCTTCTCTCTTTTTTTTAAAGAATTATTTACTTATCTTAATTCCACTTGCTATGATTTAACCTGACGAGAGAGAGACAGACAGAGAAAGGGAGAGGGGGAAAGCAAGCCACCAGGTCCGGGTCTTGAACCACGGTCAGCCATATGGGAATCCAGCGTCCCAGCCGCCACACCACCTGCCGGCCTATATCACTCATCTCTTAAAATACAAACGGCTTGGGGCCAGCAGGTGGCACAGTGGCTGGGGAAGCTGGATTCCCATATGGCTGACTGCGGTTCAAGTCTCAGATCTAGCAACTTACTTTCTCAATTTCTCTGTCTTTCTCTCTCATCAAATTAAAATAAATAAAGTTAAATAAAATAATTCTTAAAAAAAAAAAAGAAAGAAACAAACAGCTCAAGGCTCCAAGCAAGCCAGCTCTATAATGGCGGATGCCCTTCTACCACCTCTTCCTGGTTTCTCCAGCCTCATCTGGCACACAACTGTCTTCCAGCCTTGCCACCCCCAACACGCAAATCAGAGGAAATGACCACCAGCACCGGTTCCCCAGGAGCTCGCGCTGCTTCACCTCTCCAGGCCTCTGCCCGCTCCTCCTCCCTGGGAAGCCCTCCTGCCAGCCCCCAGTCTCTGCCTGCCTGGAAGCCCCTGCTCCTCTGGTCAGAATCACCGTCACCAAACCTTCAGTGTCTCCCTCGCCCTGACCTGCAGAGGCAGGAGCCTTTCCTGACATGCCCCATCCATCCTGTATACCCTAACAAAACATGCCTCACGTGGCTATGACACCGTCCACTCAAGGACCTGCTGCTCCCCTTTTTCACATCTGACCCTGCACTCAACATGGAATCTAATGAGGAACCGACAGGCACCGGTTAAGGCCGGAGGGAAAAACGCCACTGTGAACTAACCTGGGAAGTTAAGGCCATCCTCGACTTGCCGCACGGAGCTATGGGTGGGCCTCACGGGGGCGAGGGCAGCCTGGCACTCCGTCATCTCGTACTGTCCGGAACTCAGCTCCTCCTTGGGGAAGAGTTCGCTCTGACTCACCTCCTGTGGTATTTCCAGACACACTCGGTGCCTCTTTGTCCCTATACGGTGCTTGGCCAGGCTGCAAGGACAATAGCAAACCTTTTCAGAGCCCACACATCCAACCACTTAGACAAATTGACTCAACCCAAAATGAAAGGGCAGAGCCCGTCAGCCTGGTTCAAAACGCAGGGTCACCTCGATTGTACGGTCTAAGACAAAGGACTTCACCTCCTTGAACTTGTCCCACCATCTGGAAAATCCAGGCATACCACCCACCTCACAGATTGGCTGGGAGGAATGACTGACTTTCTTTCTTTCTTTCTTTCTTGTCTTTCTTTTCTTCCTTTCCCTCCCTCCCTCCCTCTCTCTCTCTCTTTCTCTCTCTCTCTCTCTTTCTTTCTTTCTTTTTAGGTTTTTGATGTAG